TAGATTATCTTGAATCTTCACCTAGCCTCAGTGCTTAGTGGTCCCACTTCTTCTTTCTTGCTGTGACATTCCCAAAACTGCAACCTGTATTGTTGAACTGATCAACTGGATTGTTGAATTGTTGTGTTCCCTAACTCTCTAGGTAGGGTGTCTTAATGATGCTTTCCTATGAGAACAACTGCTCCTGACCTATTAATGCACAGTCACTGGCATGTAAAATCATTCCCAGATCTTGACATGTATAGTATCCCAGCCATCCTTGAATAGATACAGCGTGACACCCATTAATCCATCACCCCTAGCTTTGCGCCAAACTGCAATGTTGAATATTGCAAGTTCATAGATAGTCTGTCATTCCAATATGGGGAATGATTGTATTCATCAGCCTTGCTGTCTCAGGAAAAGTTCCCCTAGCGCTTCAATCGAAACTCACTGAATCCAGGTAAAACAATCAAATGAGTTTATTAACTAGAAAAATATAGATTTTACGTGATTTATAAGTAATAAGGCTCAAAAGTCAGAGTTGATTACAAAAGAAATAAAAAGGTTTATAAAAATGCAAGCTAATTCTTAAACTTTGCCAAGGCTAATTGGGTTTAAAAGCAAAAAGGTTTCTCTCACCCAAAAGTTTTCAGCAATCTGTACTGTTTAGAAACCTTCCAGCCAAGACCACTCCCCGTACTTCAATGACGCTTCCTGTAGTCTTTCAAGCAATCTTGCTGCCATGAGTAGAGATGAAGAAGGAGAAGAAATTTGTGTGTAGCGAGTTCTGCATTCTTTTATTTTTTCTCCCATTTTTGAGGATTATCCCTCACTAGGATGTAGACAAAACAGTTCTTTGTGTACATGAGATTTGAAACATCTTTAATGTGAATTGTAAATGTCTATGTTTACTGTCTCCCCTGCTGGTGAATGGTTACTTCAGCAATTACTATTTTAACACCTGTGGTTAGTCCTTTTTTCTTCCTGAGAAGCCAGTCTATTGGCGTTCCTCAGAATTACAATATATTTCATTATCATATAGTAAAATCTCATAACTCCATATACAATGGTGATGTATGCATTTTAACAAGACAGTGATGTTCAGTAGATTATGAGTTTTCAGAAAACCCTGCACAAAGTATACTTTGTACAAAGTATACCATAACCGTATAATGTTGTGAACTTTGATCCAAGATGCCACATATGATATAGGATGTTACATCTACCACTAGACTTTAGTAGCCTAACAAATTTAAAGTCTAATATCCTGACTCCAGGAAGGCAGCACGCCATCCCATTGTCCACTTATTCCTTGCAGAATGTACTTTTGATTCTTCTGAGTATTGAATCCCAACAAGGATTATTTGTCTTCTTTGGACTGTTAGGGTGCAGACACACCCTTACCTCAAAATAAGCTACACAATTTGAGCTATGCAAATTATGTATCTTATTTTGAGTTAATTTAGAAATAGATTATTTCATAATTTGGTGCTGTATACCCAATACTAAATTTCAAAATAAACTACCCTTTCAAAATGTCCTTTAGTCCTCATGGAATGAGGTTTACAGATAATACCTGAAGTATGTCGAAATAGCACTGCAGTGTAGACATACCCACTGGCTACGTCTAGACTGGCCCCTAATTCCGGAAGAGGCATGCAAAGCAGGTAAGTCAGAATAGGGAAATCCGTGGGGGATTTAAATAAACATGTCCGCCGCTTTTTTTCCGGCTTGGGGAAAAGCAGGAAAAAAGCGTCTAGACTGGCGCGATCCTCCGGAATAAAGCCCTTTTCCGGAGGATCTCTTATTCCTACTTTCAGGTAGGAATAAGAGATCCTCCAGAAAAGGGCTTTATTCCGGAGGATCGCACCAGTCTAGACGCTTTTTTCCTGCTTTTCCCTAAGCCGGAAAAAAAGAGGCGGACATGTTTATTTAAATCCCGCAGGGGATATTTAAATCCCCCACGGATTTCCCTATTCTGACTTACCTGCTTTGCATGCCTCTTCCGGAATTAGGGGCCAGTCTAGACGTAGCCTTAGAGAACTCTTTGTGGGCAAGCTCATTTTTCATACAGGTTAGACCAAGCTGCCATCCACAGTTGTGCCCCATACATTTCTCGATTCCTGGAACCTGCTAGATTATTTGGAATTCTTCTCTTTTTAAGCAGAGATATAGTCCAGAATGAAACTAGCTTTTAAAAAATGTTGATATAATAACTATATATCACTGCCATATATATTTTTTTATTTTTCTGAGTAGTGTTATAATGGGTTGGCTGTTTAACCAGAATAGTGGACATATTTGTGGATTCATGTTTAATACTGTGGTCTTCAGGTCAGTCAGTGAGATTGCATAATATCAACATAGTTGATGAACAGTGGAACCTTAGGGTACATCTACATAGCAGTGTTATTTTAGAACAACTGACAATAACAGTCTGAAATAACAGTCCACGTCTACACTACAAACAGTTATTTTGACATAATGTCATAATAATGTTGGACTGGAGAACTTCTCACTTCGACTCCTGTAACCCTCAATTCACGAGGAGTAAGGGAAGTCGAAGGAAGAGTGTTCTAACTCGGACTTCTTCTATGTAGACAGCACCAAAAGCCAAAATAAAGCTATTTTGAATTTAGCTATGCAACTGATGTAGCTCAAGTTGCATAGCTTATTTCACCTTTGGCCCTGCTGTGTAGATGTGTCCTTTGTTATTATCCCTGCTGTCCATTGACTTCATTGTGGTTTCTATGGTGAATTGGTTGCAGCATTTTTTTTTCTGTGGTTTCAGTAGTTTTACAAGTCCATATCTTGGGTTTTTTTTAGTATGTGAAACAGTTTTTTGGTCATTTGAAATCCATGACATTTGATATTGTGAATTCTCCTGTGAAAGGCCTTCATGTTCTGGGCACTTTAGCAACTCTCTACTATTAACGTCTATGTCTATTACCTTCCTGAAATACAAAGCTGAAAAGTCCTTTGAAACACATAATTTGTGTGATAATAGTGCATATAGCCTCTTAATATCAATACCAAGATTAAAATGTATTTGAATTTTCTTGCCAGCAGTATGTGTAAAACACATAATCATGGAATGAGCCCCAGCTATAAAAGAGAAGTAAAAATAACAGTAAGAGATTTCGCTATAGGGGAGCTCACAGACTACAAGTTTACAGAAACTTATACTAATAGTCTGTTATTCCTTTACTCATATACTGGGAAAATTCATCCAGGAAGTAATTCACTGAAATTAAGTAAAAATAAATAGAAATGTTTTCAAGGGAAAAATTGCCTCTCCCCCATTTCCTTCATTTGCTTTCATACAGTCACCATTTAAAAAACAAACAATCAATCCCCACCCAAATACTAATACAAATAATGCCTATACAAGTATTTCTGGAAGTTTATCATTGGAAAATTTAGTATTTTTCCAGTATTTGGCATTTGCAGTATTTTGAAAAAGTTTTCTCTTTTTAAAATACATTTTGGACTGAAGAATTTTTTAAAAAATCCAAAAAGCATCAACTGGAATGTTTCAAATGCACTATCAACTTTCAGGATTTGGAGTGCTATTGAAGGTTTCAAATAATTCTCTGCATGATCAGGAAAAAAAAAAGAAGAGGGAAATGTATTTGAAACTAGAGTGCCTTGCAACAGAATGCTCAGCTATCTCTCACTCCAGGGTGCTGTTATTAGAGGATTTTAATGTTACCAGATTAACAGCCACAGATGATCTCTTGAGCCTAAGATCCCTGATAAAAATTGGAATGCTGTCTATGGATGAAGATAAGACTGCACATTCTATTCTTTTCTGTTTTAGAAAGGGCTCAGGCACATAGTTGAAATTTTTAACAGGGAGCATCTGCTGGGTATTCTCTCTGTGGGTATCTAAATTACAAGACTTTAGGAAAACTTTGTGATGCACTACATATTGCTAGGAAGATCTAAGACCTCCTGTGCAGAAGTGGCTGACAATGTACTGTTTTCATTCAAATGCAAATTCCTTTTTCTTTCTGGATGGGATTCAGGAAAGTACACACCCCCTCTTCAGCTCCTCCTTTGCCCTCCTTTTCTTTTGTGCTTTGTAAATAAATAAGAAGTAATGCCTTTCTTTCTGAAGACACAGCTGCAGGGGGCTCTTTAAAGGAAACACAGAGACAGAGAGAGAGAGAGAGAGAGAGAGAGAAGGCATACACTCAGGCAGTGAGAGAGAGAGAAGTGGAGCTGGGTTTTCACAAGCTAGGAAGGGTGACATTTTTGTTCTGCTTTTTTCATAGCTTCGATTTCGGTTGCAACATTCGCTGTACTGGAAAGCATAATTCATTTACAACTGCAAAAGTCTGATGTGTCTACAGCTCCTTTTAAAGTGTATTTATTTTATTTTAATGACAGAATTCAGTCTGTGTGGTCGCAGCAGCAGCAGATTTTGAGGAGTGTATTATCCTGACTAGTCTCTGATCATTACAGGGATGTTAATTGCTTTTCAATGAAGAAAGATGGTCATCTAAAATGCTTCTTGAAGTCCCGTGGGTTTTTTTAGTGAGCAAACATGGGGAACGTAAACAAAATTAATGTTTGTGACGGTATTGTGTTAAAAAAAGCTCTTCAGACTAAATGTTTGGTGGATAAACTAAATATGTCATTGTGTTTCAGGACACAAAACTATTTAATAACAATTTTCAGCAGTTCTGTAACAATAAAATATGCATTAAACCAGGTATCAACTTGAAACATAAAGGGGACTTTTTGCTATTTTGTACTTGAATTGTGAAATCTTTTCTCCTGAAGGACAAAAATGTTTTAGCAGATTAGTCTTTTAATCCTAAAGGCATTTGGTTCAAACCTTATTAAGGTCATAAAAGGGATTTTGTTTAGTTTCATTTTTTCCTGTCGTACTGAATTCTGTATAGCAGGGAGGGGTTAAATTTTGCAAGGCTGGATTAAAGATGTACTGAACTCCTTTCCTGTTTTTCTTTTCCGTCTCTTTCTGATGGTTCTGTTTTCTTTCCTCGGTACAGGGCACCACTAGTCGAGCAGCCCATTTAGCTGGATCTGAACCTTCTCAGTCACATGCTGCTTCTCAGTCAAGAGAGTCCTTTGTGCCAAGCCATGGGAGCGCGTTCCATTTGCCTGATTCCCAGCATTCTTCAACACTTTATTACTCCAGCTCCACTCTGCCAGCCCAGAGAGTGAGCTCCCCGCTGTCCATGCAGCAGGTGGGCTCTCCAACCAAGCTCCAGCGGGTGGGTTCAGCATCGGAGAGCGCTGGATACAGCACCACACAGCGGGTCTCGTCTCCCAAGCAGTCTCCAAGCCGACTAGCCAAGTCTTATAGCACCAGCTCACCAATCAATATTGTTGTCTCTTCAGCGGGACTTTCTCCTTCCCCAATTCGTGTGACTTCTCCACCCACCATTCAGTCTAATATTTCCTCCTCTCCTATACATCAGCTAAGCTCCACCATTGGCACTTATGCTACTCTGTCGCCTACCAAACGGCTTGTCCATACATCAGATCAATACAGCAAGCATTCCCAGGAACTCTATGCCACTGCTACCCTACAGAGACCTGGCACCCTGGCAGGTAAATGATGCCAATTTTTCATCTGTAACTCTTTAAGTGCTTTGTTCATTGCATGCATGAGCGGTCTCATTTAGTGTCAGAATGTTTTTATTTTTGGCTTACATTATTACATTTACATGAATAAGGGAGGAAAAAAGATTAATTGTGAACTATATCTTGTTTTAAAACTTGTGTTTTAAATATGTCTCTTGCAAGCAGTGTATCCAGATAGCAGCAGCTGCATATAAGACAAATTAATAAATACAAGATGCTAAGGGATTAGGAAGAGTAAATGTTAAGGGATTAGGAAGAGTAAAGAATTTGGAGGGTCTTTTTGAAAACTATTGTATGATGAATTTTTGTTCTCTTTTAAAATTCATTTGAGTTTCATTGCTATAGTAACAGCCACTGTGCTCATATGTTCTCTTATCTGACATAAATAGATAAATTTGAAGATTAAGGGGATACATAAAAGGATTTGCTAGATATATCGAGCAGGTTACCCAAGTGCCCTTTTGCAATCAATTCTCCTTTACCCACTTCTACCACCCCAAAAATGCCAGCAGCATCATATGCAATTTTAGTGTTATGCTGTCCAAAAAAATAGATTAAATTAGGTGACTGCTAAGAAGATAGTGCTAGCTTCTACTTCAATTTTCCTGTAAGTTATTTGGGAATTCTCCTAAAATAACAATTGAATCAAAGGAGTCCAGCTAGCAAAAGAATCAGAGTTTGTCACATTTAATGTCTAGGTTTAATATGCATAAAAGATTTCATAAGTAGGATTACCTGAATGAGGTCCAAAGAGAGAACTTTGGACAACTTGTCCTCCTCTGCTGTCAAATACTCTTTACTCCTTTCACGGATGAAGTGGTATTTTTCTCAGAGAGACAGAGTAGGTCAAGTAATATCTTTTATTGAACCAACTTTAGTTGGTGAAAGAGAAAAGCATTTGAGCTTACAGAGAACTCTTCTTCATTTGGTATTTTGTTGAGCATTTATAAGAATTTATACACACAAACCTCTTGATGGTCTCTTGTTTTCCACACATCTCAAGAAAACACACTGTTCTGCCCAATGTATACAATATCGCCTTATAAAATACTGTTAACAAATGAGTTAAATATGTTCAATATTTTGTAGTTTAGACTGCGTTTCATTTTTATGGAGTAAGAAAATTGCTCTGTACAATTTAAATAAGCATGGAATAAATTGTCAATGTCTGCAAGTCAAAAGATAAATTTTGTTTAAAATGTTTCTTTTAAGTCTGATAATCAAGATTCTTCTGGCTTTCTTACTATTTACAACCAATCTGTAGAGCAGTGATGTTTAACTGTAGGCATTCTAAAAAAGTCTTTATTATTTCCCCTTACTTGCTTTAAGAGCTGATAAGCTTTGTATTGTCATAAACATCCTTGGGGGATGAAACATCTTCTATAGCCTATCAACACAACTCCTTTGTTGGCCAGATGGTTTGCTTCAAAGGACAGTGAGGAATCCTCCCCTCCCCCGCCCCTTAGAGTCCCAGCACAAGTCCTGTGAACCATCTCCAATACTTTCAGAACAGAGATAATACTTATGACCCTGTCTCCCTGACAATACAGCATTATATTTTGTTCTGAACTGTTAACACCACTAGTGATGATACATTAATTTATGAACTTTTCTTGCACACCCTACTCTCAAAAAGTTAGAACCAGAAAACACTGATATCTATACTTATCTTAACATTTTTAAAAATACATTTTCATTTGTGTTAGCCAGATCTAAATAGTGGTCTTATAAGCAAGGGAATTTTGGACCTACAGTACTGCAAGGTGAAAAAGCACATTTTTAAAGCCAGTAATTTATTAAGCATTACAAATAGCCTGCAAATAAGAAAATGGGCTTGTATCCACCCCTCTCCCCATTTTCTTCTTTATGATGTGTACTTTTTTTTTGTCAAAAAGGTGTGTTGCTGCTTGTTTATTGCATTAGAAATCCATGTATTTTTCAGAAGTACAGGAAGACAATATCATGCCTTGTAAACTAGTGAAATTGAGCAAAGCTTTGTTTTTTGTTATCTTAACACTTATTTAACTCTGGTGACAATGACTAATTAACACTTGACATGGAATAGCTTTGTTAACTTAAAAAGGATACTGTCTCCTCAACTAATGTCAGAGGGTTCATGGTGTACATCCCTTTGATGACCCAGAAGTGTCCTCCCCAAAGCAGACTTGACATTCCTGTTTTGTTTTGTGTCCCTATAAATAGACATATTCATGGAAGGAGTAGAGGAACTGTTAGTCCTTATTTGTAAAAAGTAGCAAAAAAAAAAAAAAATAGCAAACTCATTTTAAAAATCATATGAAGGTCCCTTTTAAGAAGTCGGCAGGGCCCTTTTTTATTTCTTAGACTTGAAACTCTTTTCATTACTTGTTTACTGCCAGCAGTCACAGGATATGGTGTATCCACTCCTGAGGAATCCTGGCATTAGCCAACTACTTCCTAATAACACGTTGCTTGGTTTGTCATGTGGTTAGACTCCCTTTGTGTAAACTGTTTTATATATATTATTGTCTTTGGATGTACCATCTGACTGAAGGATTTTGCATGCTATTATGTGCCTGAGAATAAGGCCTTATGTCAGTTCTTCATCACAGTCCCTTTTATGCTGAACAGGTACCTTGTGGTTTTGATTTTGGATTCTACTTTTAAAATGTTTGTTGTGTCAGTTCTTCTTTTAGGTTTTGGAGTGTCACATGCGGTATTTGTTGAAAGGCTTTTTATACTGATGCTTCTGTGTATCTTACGGCATCTCCTTTGATGCAATCACATTAATTCATCAGCTTCAATTTATTTCATTTGTAGACTTGAGATGTGTGCACAGCACATGGGGGCCCACTTTGCTTAATATGAAGCTGTTATTGGGGGTATACACTAGCACCTCTAAATCTACAACTCCAATAAACTGTTATTTTGTAGAATAATATGCCTCTTTTGCAAAAAACAAAACAAACAAACCCAAACCCAAACATGTTCATGCAAATTACTGTGAATACAAATAACTTGCACCAGTGTTAATTGATTAACTCATTTATTGAGGAAAACAACTACTTATGAAAGTGAACCAAGTACAAATGGTATTGGAGAATATAGTAGGTAGGAACACTTTACATTTTTATATATGCATTATAATTGAATGTTTAGGTTGGAACTAAAACATCTTTCTGCCTTTTAGTCAAGATTAGAGTTTGCTGCCAAGGTAACAAAACAGGGTAAAACAAAAAAGTTGCAAATAACATTTAGCTTTCATTAGACATGTGCAGTGCAAATTTACACGTGCAATGTAATATGTTGGCAAAAAAACAAATCCTATGAGTTTAATAAAATTCATTTCTCTCAAAGTGTAAAAATTGGAAATTCTTAAGTAAACATATGCATTATGTTAATTGATTACCCATGTGCTAAGCAATGTTTTTGATTCTGTTAGGATGAGAGCTTAAGGTTTAAATCCTATTTTGGGGCATATCAAATTGTGGATTTTTATGGTTGTGTAGCACAGTTCGGTGAATAAGCAAAGTCCTGAAAATCTAGCTGAGTCATTCTTGACTGAAGCACAGTTCATGCTTTGGAAGAAGATTCCAGATTTGCAATGCTCCAAAACCAACAGTACTAATTGTTCACTAATAATAATTATCCCTGTGTCTAGGACTAGTTTAAAGATTATGATATTGGTGTTGGTTGAAGATGCCTTGGCTTGGATGTGAAACAGAACAGAAACAGAATAGTTATCTCAAATAACTTTAACAAAGATTCCATCCTGGTCAGGACTAACATTATATGAAGAGCATCTACTTCATAATATATAGGATAAAAATACAAAAGTAGGAAAAAACTTTTTCAATGGGCAGTTATTCCATATTTGCCCATTATGCATCTTTCTCTGAAGCGTCTGTCACTGGTCAATGAGATGTGGTATTAGTCTACATAAACCACTCCTTTGACCCAGTACAGGCAGTCCCCAACTTACGCGGATCCGACTTATGTCGGATCCGCAGTTACGAACGGGGCTGCCCGGAGAACACGGACTGTGGGACCTCGCGGTCCCGCCACCCGTGTACTCCGGGTGAGAAAAGCTGCTCCGCGTCTCCCTGGTCTGCAGACCAGGAAGACGCGGAGCAAAG